CGGAGAGACTTGTGTTTGTTAAAGAGTGCTGTTGGCCCTGTTGGGTGGAGCTTAGTGTTATAGCTCCATTCTCCACTAGATGGCGCTTTTAGCTTATTGGGGTGGATCGCTGTGGCACGTGTAGGTGTGTATGCGCATTCGCTAGAGGGGTGAAAATGGCATCAGCCTACTATGTAGTCATTACTATCGTAAGTCTGTGTTCTCGACCACTGGGAATCAAGCACCCTCCTTTGTCTCTGCCTTCCATCCACTGACTCTCCACTCTTACAAGCCATCAGGCTGCCAGGCAGCACCTCCGTCGTGAGCTTTATCTCAGATGTGGCTGTGTTTCCCAAGCCCTCACTTCTGAGGGACTGTGGCTTTCACCCATTCTGATCTTCTGGGGGAGGGTCTCTCTGAGTAATGGCTGGGTGCCCACCCACCCCCAGGAACGTTCACAGGGCTGTGCTGCTGCCGATGCCCAGACCCTGCAGCTGGGTGTCAGCCTGCCCCAGAAAAAGTTCACACGACCTTGTAGCAGCAGCTTTTAAAGGATTATGGAAAATCACAACACACATCTGGCGCCAGACTTCCCCCTCAAGGTCCTTGTTCCAGCACCAGCGGTTGTTCTCTGGGGTCAGCTGGGACCATTGTCTGTGGGGTGGCTGCACAGCCTCTACCAAATGTCCTTCCAGCGGGGAAACTACCTCTCCCCATGTTGCCCGAGGACCCCTTGGACCTTGCTCTCTGCTCCTAGAGATTCGCCCTTCCCACCAGAGGAAGCTGCAGAGTTTCAGACTCCACACACTACCTCTGTTTGTAGAGTCTCAATGGAATTTAAACCCTCTTATTTCTCCTTTCTCCTTTTTTTGTTCAGTCCCTGAGGCTGGCTGTTTCCACTCTCTCTCCAGCTACTTTTTTTTGGGGGGGGGGCGGGTCTTTTTCCTGTACTCTCCCCCATCTCCATCCTTCTCTCCACAAGCAAAAACAGCTCCCTGCTCTCTGTGGCCTCTCTCTCCCCCACTTCACCTGTCCACACTGCATACTCCCAAGTTCTGTGGTTCAGCTTGTGCAGATTGTTGTGTTAATCCTCAAATCAGTTTTCTATGTGTTCCAAGATGGTTTAGTGCTGATCTGGCTGCCTTTCAGGGATAAAAAACACAAAAACACTTCCATGCTGTTCCGCCATGTTGGCTCCTCCCCTGAAGTATTTTTCATAGGTCTTCTTGGTGTAGTGTAAGAAAAAATTTTTAAAACCTTAAATACTTTCTAATTGTACTTTTTAAAGAAACTTCCATGCTGTCTGCACCATTTTACATTTCCATCAACAATGTGTAAGGGTTCCAATTTCTTATTATTACCAGTGCAACAAAGCTTTCCTCATATTTTTGATAGAAACTTTATAATTTCAGGTCTTACATTTAAGTCTTTAATCTGTTTTCTGTTAATTTTTTTGTATGGTGAACATAAGGGTTTAATTTCATTCTTTTGCATTGGATATCCAGTTTTCCCAACACCTTTTTAAAGATATTATCTTTCCCTTACTGTGTATTCTTGGCAACCTTGTCAAAGATCAATTGAATATATATAAATGAATTTCTTTCTGGGCTTTGTTCCATTGGTCTACATACCTGTCTTCATGCCAGGACCATATGGTTTTAAATCAGGAAGTATGATGCCTCCAGCCTTTTCTTTTTCTCAATATTTTTTTTTTTTTTTTTACAAATAGTTAATTGTCAAATTGGTTTCCACATAACACCCAGTGCTCATCCCCACAAGATTATTTTTACTATTTGGGGTCTTTCCTTATTCCATATGAATTTTAGGGCTGTTTTTCTATTCCTGTAAAGAATGCTATTGGGATTTTGATAGGGATTGCATTCAGTCTGAGGATTGCTTTGGGTAGTACAGATATCTTAACAATATTGCCTTCCAACCCATGAATATAGGTTGCCTTTCCATTTATTTGTGACTTCTTTAATTTCTTTCATTGATGTTTTGTAGTTTTCAGTGTACAAGTCTTTCACCTCCTTGGTTAAGTATATTATTAAGTCTTTTACTCTTTTTGTGGCTATTGTAAATAGGATTTTTTTTTTCATTTCTTTTTCATAGTTCATTGTTAGTGTACAGAAACACAGCTAGGTTTGTATGTAGATTTTTGTATCCTGAAATTTTATGGGATTTGTTTATTAGTTCTAACAGGCTTTATTTTTTAACTTGTTAGGAGTATTTCTATATAAATAATATTATGTCCTCTACAAATAGTGATATTTTACTTCTTTTGTGATTTGGATGCCTTATTTTTTTATACGCTTTCTTTTTTTTTAATTTGAGTATAGTTGACATATAAAGTGACATTAGTTTCAGACGTACAACTTAGAAATTCAACAAGTTTATACGTTATGCTGTGCTCACTCCAAGTGTAGCTGTCATCTGTCACCATACAACAGTGTTGCAATGCCGTTGACTGTTTTCCTTATGCTATACCTTCTATTCCCATGGCTTATTCATTCCATAACTGGAAGCCTGTGTCTCCCATTTCCCTTCACCTATTTAGTCCATCCCTTCTGGCAATCACCAGTTTGTTCTCTGCATTTATAGGTCTGATTCTGCCTTTTGTTTGTTTATTCATTTGTATTTTTTTTAGATTCCACTTATAAGTGAAATTAGACACTATCTGTCTTTCTTTGTCTGACTTATTTCATTTAGCATAATACCCTCCAGGTTCACCCATGTTGTTGCAAATGGCAGGATCTCATCTTTTTTATGTTTGAGTAATATTCCATTAATATATATTTTTTCCACTAATATATATTACATATATATATATACATATATGGTTTTTTTATTTATTTTTTATTTATTTATTTATTTTAAATTTATTTCTAGGAGAGAGAGAGAGACAGCGTGAGCAGGAGAGGGTCAGAGAGAGAGGGAGATACAGACTCTGAAATAGCCTCCAGGCTCTGAGCTGGCAGTCAGCACAGAGCCCGACGCGGGGCTCGAACCCACGAACCGCGAGATCGTGACCTAAGCGAAAGTCGGACGCTCAACCGACTAAGCCACCCAGGCGCCCCCATATATGGTTTTTTTAATACATCTTCTTTATCCATCCATCTATTGACAGACACTTGGGTTGTTTCCATACCTTTGTTATTGTAAAAAATGCTACAATAAACATGGTGGTGCATATATCTTTTCAAATTAGTGTTTTCATTTAATTTGTATAAGTATCTAGTAGTGGAATTGTTGGGTCATATGGTAATTTCATTTATAGTTTTTTGAAAATCCTCCATAGTTTTCCTTGGTGGCTGTGCCAATTTACATTCCCACCAATAGTGCACAAGGGTTCCTTTTTCTCCACATCCTTGCCAACACTGGGGCATAATATTCCAAATATATCTCTTAAGTCCATGTGGTCTAAGATTGTTCAGTGTCACTGTTTCTTTTTAAATTTCTGTCTGGATATTCTATCTCTTATTGACAGTGGGGTATTGAAGTCTCCTGCTATTGTCTCATTGTCTGTTTCTCTTCTCTGTTCCATCAGTGTTTGTGTTTTATATTTACATGTCTTGATGCTGCGTGCGTATATTTTTATAAGTGCTGTATCTTCTCAGTGAATTGACCCTTTGATCATTATATAATTTCTTCTTTGCTTGACTTAAAGTCTATTTGGTGTGATGTTAGTATAGCCACCCCTGATCATTTTTGGCTATGATCTTTATGAAATATCTTTTTCTATCCCCTCACTTTCAGCCTATATGTGTCCTTAAGTCTAAAGTGAGTCTCTTGTATACAGCATACAGTTGGATTTTGTATTTTTTATCCATTCATCCCCTCTATGTTTTTTATTTTATCTGTTTACATTTAAAATAATTATTGATAGTGAAGGACTTACTATGCCATTTGTGAAATTTTTTTCTGTCTTTAAGGGTTCCCTTCTTCTTTAATTTTTTGCAGTTACAAATAACTCCTACAGTTCATTTCAACCTTGAGAATTATAACTCATTTCCTATAAATCATCAGTAGCAATGGGAGCATGCAGAGTATAAAAATATGCTCATCTAAATATTAGATACTGGAAGCATCAAAGCATCTGGACCTTTGCCTCAAGGAATGAGCTGTCTAACTTAATGGCATCTTAGCACTGATGTCTGTATCTTAGGAAAGGGTTTCAGAACAAGTTGTCCTGATTTTTATTTGAAGTGATATTGGAAGTATTTACAAATAGGAAAGAAAACTAATGCCCCAAGCAAACAGATTATTAATTATTCCATTTTTATTAAGGGAGAGGAAAAAACTAATAGAAAAATAGAGTGCACACACACACACACACACACACACACAATTCTATTTTACATACCCCCATGATTGTTGAATTTATCACAGCTCTCTCTCCTCTCTCTCCTTCTGTGAATATGCGTGTACATTATGGTGTTAGGTTTATTATTTCTATTATTTATTTATTTTGATTCTATTTATTATCTAGGTTTTCTTACTTGGTATAAACAAGTTTTGATTTTATAATGGCAGATTAAAAAGAATGATAAAAGTAAACAGGCTAAAAGGAAGAATTTTTTTTTAAATGTTTATGTATTTATTTTGAGAGAGAGTGTGTGTGAGGGGAGGGGCAGAGAGAGAGGGAGAGGGAGAATCCCAAGCAGGCCCTACACTTAGCACAGAGCTGGCACATGGCTCTGTCTCACCACTGGGAGATCACTACCTGAGCTGATATCAAGAGTTGAACACTTAACCAAATGAGACACCCAGGTATCCCAAAGGAAGAAATTTTTTTAATCCCAAAGGAAACTTGATTATACATTGCAGCAAAGTTTCAAATGACTTAATGTGTAGTATCTCTTGATAAAGATATTTTCCAGACATATTTCAACTTGATATGAGCCCCAGATGATAAAGAAGTACAAGGACCTGCAAAAGTATATGTTTAATCTGCGGTGGGTTGATGTAGTGGAAATTGTAGATACCCTTCCTCCGTTCCTGATTTATTTCTTACATGACAGATACACCTACGGGAAACCTGTCCCAGGACTTGCAACTGTGAGCATGTGCAGAAAATTACTTCATCATTCTAGTTGTCAAAAGAAAGAGTTCTGTGAGAAACTCAGTCAACAGGTTAGTCTACAATGTTCTCTCTAAGCACTATCATTGTTGACAACCATGGAGCTACCCTATTTTAATAACTAGAAAGAGGACATCGGAGGAAGCTTATCCTCATATATTCCCCACCAAAAAAACGAAAGAATTTCTATTCTTTGTCAATAAAATTCTCATTTTGATGACTAACCTTTAGAGAGCAGATGTGAACATGAAAGTTCTTTGAATAGGTTTAACCCAAAGAAGTTGTCTCAGCATCAGAAAGAAAATAATAGATTTAGTTTTAATCAGTGTGGTCTTAATCAATATGGTGTTGATCGATTTGTTGTTTTTTTTTTTAATTTCTCTCAGCTCAACAAAAATGGCTGCATCACCCAACAAGTAAACACAAATGCGCTCCAGATTAAAAATATGGGTTTTGAAATGAAACTTAGAGTGGAAGCCAAGATTAGAGAAGAGGGCACAGGTTTGAACTCTAAATTAATATAAGGAGTGAAACGCATAAACATGCGTTTGTTTTCCATAACCAAATAAGGGTCATAAAGAAGGTGGAGGGACATGAATTTTAGGACTAAAGTAACTTCCAAGAATAGTTACTCTTCTCTATATATTTTTAGGTGTAGTATTTACTGGAAATGGGACCAGCGAAATCACAAATACTGTAACCAGACTCAAGTTCGTGAAAATCAAGTCACACTTTAGACGAGGAATCCCCTTCTTTGGACAGGTAGAGTATATCGCAATTCACAAATAATGACGTATCTAGTTGCATCTTACCTTCAGGGCATGATGATGTAGCCTACATCTACCTAGCGATATCAGCTAGACCCAAAACATGAAACCAAGAAAAAAGACCTTCCTTTGTAAACATCACTGATAAAATGTACAATCTCATACGATAGCATTTTCAGAATCAGAGATATTATTTCTTTTTAGAACATGTAGATAATGAAGAATGTGAAATGAATTAGTTATTATGTCAAACCTTCTCTACCAACTGTCTTACAATAAATATATTTCTGCAATTATCCAGCCAGCTTCAGAATTTTAAGAGAATTTCTCACAAATCATTCTCAATTTATGCCTTCCGATATCCTCCTTTATATCTGTGGTTCTATTTAGAAACAAGTGGATAAGCAGTTTTATTGTTAGACATAAGACCTATAATAGTGTACATTTAATGGCCATCATTATTAAATTATTCTCATGCTTAAGGTATAGATTTTAATTTTAAGAAATAATTTTACCCTTTTTATAATTACAATTTTTTACCCATTTTATAATAATTTGTTTAAAACTACTTATATTTCTTCTCAAAAAAGCAACGCTTTTTGTGGGGCTGTTTATGTGGTTTGTCTCAGGAAATGAAAAAGACATGAAGATCCAAAAAAAAAAAAAAAGAGTAAAAAGGTAAAAGAAATGAGGATACAAATGGAAAAAATTGATTTTATAGTAAATATGGAAGGATCGTTTTCGAGGTTTGCTTTTGCTTTTTCTTTCAGTTATGGAAGCCAATGAATTTGTCCCCTTGAGTTCTGTCTTCTCTGAGTATTAATCCACGTAATTTATCAAGTACTTTTCTTCTTTAGGTGCTTCTGGTGGATGGGAAAGATGTACCCATCCCCAACAAACTTATCTTTATCTCTGCAAGTGAAGCCAATTATCGTTACAATGCAACTACCAATGAACAGGGTCTTGTACAGTTTTCAATCAATACTACTAATATCTTGGCCACCAAAATTTCTGTTGTGGTAAGTATGAAGGGAAAAAAAACCCGGAGGACAAAAAGAAACCTCAGTAACCATTATTTTTTTCAGAAATGAAGAAGCATACATATTGTATTCAAGAGATAGAAATAAGAAGCTGTCCGACTTAGGGATAAACTTGGGAATTTAAAATTTCATTCAAAATAATAAAGACATTAGCAGAGATACTGTAGAAATGTTCGATCATTTCATTAACATTATCATTAAAATATTATGTACTATGTAAAAAAATTCATGTAAGATTTGGTCCTGAACAATATCAGTTCTTCAATGGGTAAGTAATTTATGTAATTTGTTTTATGTTGGGTTTTTTTCTATGTCTACTCAAATAACTTTGAAAGTGATTGGAACCCCCCCCCCACATTCTTAGTATATATTGTCTAATGATGATGATCAAAAGATTTCTATAACTAAAAGATTGACTCTTGTAATCTCAAGCAAAGAAATGGTAAAAAGATAATGATTCATGGATTCCAGCTTAGATAAATAGCACTTAAATTATTTCCATTTCTCAATGTTCACATATTAATTCAATTTAAAATATGGAATGATGCTTAAGGTTTTCTATGTGATAGAGACCTGCTCTTCCTTAGGATTGAAAAGATGAACAGTGTGCCTATATTTGAAATTCTATAGGGCTCCTGGGTGTCTCAGTCAGTTAAGCGTCCAACTTCAGCTCACGGTTCATGGGTTTGAGTCCCGTGTCAGGCTCTGCACTGACAGCTCAGAGCCTGGAGTCTGCTTCAGATTCTGTGTCTCCCTCTGTCTCTGACCCTCCCCTGCTCACGCTGTCTCTCTCTCTCTCTCTCAAAAAATAAATAAAACATTAAAAAATTTAAAAAAGAATTTTTTTTACAAATAGTTTATTGTCAAATTAGTTTCCACATAACACTCAGTGCTCATCCCCACAAGTGTCCTCCTCCATGCCCATCCCCCCTCCCCCCCACATCCATCAGTCCTCAGTTTTTGTCAGCATTCAAGAGTCTCTCATGGTTTGCCTCTCTCCCTTTCCCCCGCCATTTCTGCCCTTCTTCTCCCCCTTGTTCCTCCGTCAAGTTCCTCCTAATCCTCCTATACGTGCAAACATATGATATTTGTCCTTCTCTGCCTGACTTATTTCGCTCAGCATAACACCCTCAAGGTCCATCCATGTTGCTACACACGGCCAGATTTCATTGTTTCTCATTGCCATGTAGTATTCCATGGTATAGATAAACCACATCTTCTTGATCCATTTATCTGTTGATGGACACTTAGGTTCTTTCCATGTTTTAGCTATTGTGGAGAGTGCTGCTATGAACATTGGGGTCCATGTGCTCCTATGCATCAGCATTTCTGTAACCCTTAGGTAAATTCCTAGCAGTGCTATTGCTGGGTCATAGGGGAGTTCTATTGTTAGTTTCCTGAGGAACCTCCACACTGTTTTCCAGAGGTGCTGTACCAGTTTGCATTCCCACCAACAGTGTAGGAGGGTGCCCGTTTCTCCACATCCTCGCCAGCATCTGACTGGCGTGAGGTGGTATCTCAGTGTGGTTTTGATTTGTATTTCCCTGATGAGGAGGGATGCTGAGCATCGTTTCATGTGTCTGTTGGCCATCTGGATGTCCTCTTTGGAGAAGTGTCTGTTCATGTCTTCTGCCCATTTCTTCACTGGGTTGTTTGTTTTTCGGGCATGTAGTTTGGTGAGTTCCTTATAGATTCTGGATATTAACCCTTTATCTGATATGTCGTTTGCAACTATCTTAAAAAAGAAATTCTATAATCATAGAGTTAACAGAGCTACAAATTATTAGCATGATATATTTCAGAGCAATCATTTAAAAAAAAAAAAAGGAACTGGGGCGCCTGGGTGGCTTAGTCGGTTAAGCGTCCAACCTTCGCTTAGGTCATGATCTCGCGGTTCGTGGGTTCGAGCCCCGCGTCGGGCATCTGTTTCAGTCTGTGACTCCCTCTCTCTCTGACCCTCCCCTGCTCACGCTGTCTCTCTCTCTCTCTCTCTCCTAGAAATAAATAAAAATATTTTTTAAAAAAGGAACTTTATTATGATAGCAAATAGAAAGGTCCACAAAATACACCTAGTAAATTCAGTAAAAAAAAAAAAAAAAGTATGTGTACTCATAAAATAGCTAAGGAGCAAGGGAAAGAAATGGAATTATCTGCTAAACAATATTTGCAAGGTTTAAAGGTCCAAAAACCACAAGGCCTTAAAATTCCAGTCATAATAATGATAAGACGTATAGATGATAATTTGCTGGGGTTATTTACAAACACTTTTGAAGCCCTTACAGTTATAAAATATTACGTGAATATATACAACATAATTTCAATTAAACCAACTTACAAAGGCCTTCTATAATCCAAAGATTCCCTTTTTTGCTCCTTAAGATTCTATAAGCTGCAGAAGAAAGGATAAATCAGTGATGATTTGGCAAAATCAGGACAAAGGGGATTCGTTTGTAAATAGTTTCCTTTCATCTCTGCAATTTGAGAAGCTTATAATTTGTGTATTTGGTGGTCGACAGGGTTGAGGACAATGCATAGTATATGTGAGATGAGATGACACAAACTTTTAACTATTCATTTTGGTGGGAAGCTAAAGCGAAGAATATCAAAACAGTTTTCTTTGTTTTTCTGTTTTATCAGGCCTTCCACGAACAAAATAACTTTTGTTTTAACTACGTGTGGGTAAGAGAAGAACACGAGGGTACTTAGCACATTGCGAGACACGCTTTCTCCTTAAGTGGGAATTACGTTCACCTGGAGCCCGTGGCCAGTACCCTGCCCTGTGGCCAAACTCAGATTATCAAGACATACTATATACTCAATGGGCAGGCCACTGGGGAACCAAAAGAGTTCATTTTCTATTACCTGGTAAGAATAAGCCTACAAAATATATTCGGAGTTCATCCGAAGAAAACAGTGGTGGAAAAGCCACGAACGCAAAAATTGTTTGTGCACTACCATCGTGCTTTCTTGTCCAAGTTCCCCCTGATTCTTTGATTTTCAGGCAGTTAATGCTCTCAAGCAGATTCAAGAATCAAAAGCAAGTCATGTGGGGAGTAAGATGTCGAGAAGTGTGTTAGGCTCAAAAGGTTGTTTTTGTGTTGGTTTTTCATTTCAGTTCATGGCTAAGGGAAACATCGTCAGATCAGGAACATATGCTGTGCCTATAGAGCCAGGAGAGAGTGAGTATCCTCCAATTCCTCCCCCCCCCCCGATTTCCTTCCCAACACAGCCAGCTTTACACTTCAGCAATAGTTCACAAATGGGAATATTATTCCCATTATCCCTTTGTAATAGGATACAAAAGAAACTAAAGATTCTCCTTATGACTCTAGCAGTTTTCCTCAGTCAACAGATAAATCTGATTACCTACTATGCGTCAGGCACTCTGCTGAGTTACAATTTTTTCCCCTCCAGTTTGTCTCTTCCATCTGACATTTAAATTACAAACTTCTCAAAACCTAAGTTTTCTTCTGTTTTGTTTTTTTTTTACCCCAACAATAAATGTATATTGGCTGTCTTTAATCTTAGTATTGCAGAGGAGAGAGTTAAGCATCCTGGAGAATGGGGAGGAAAATGGTGATAGATTTTTTTTCTCCTGGGCGGGACTCTGGGCTAGGCTCTCTTCTCTCTGGGAAGGTCACTCCCTTCAGCACTTAATCAGGATGCATACAGTGCTACCAGCATGAAGCTGGGAACCTCATCCATGAATTTGAGTGCACTTCATTAAGTGTGGGAAAGGAAGCCAGGATTATTTTCCATTCTAATTAAATCATGTCAAGATTTAAGTCACTGAAAAAAGAGCCCATGAACATGCTTGTAATGAACTGAAAGTAAGGCAAATATTTCACCAAACTCGACTTCACCCCACAGCAAAACTTAACAAGGCTTGAAATTATGAGGTTTTAAATAGTTTCCTTCCCTATCAGGCTGGAAAAATAAGATGCCAATTATATTTCTGTTTCCATATTGAAACAATATTGGAGAAGGTTCAACTTAAAAGAAGTTAGTAATTAGTACCCTCACTAATTAAAAATTATTTGGGAGGGCACCCAGGTGACTCAGTCATTTAAGCATCCCACTCTTGATTTCAGCTCAGGTAGTTATCTCACGGTTTGTGAGATCAACTCCCCAACCCTTATCGGGCTCTGAATTAACAGAGGCTACTTGGGATTCTCTCTCTCCCTCTCTCTCTGCTCCTCCATTGCTCACACTCCCTCTCAAAATAAATAAATAAACACTTTTTTTTTTTTTACAAATAGTTTATTGTCAAGTTGGTTTCCATATGACACCGAGTGCTCATCCCTACAAGTGTCCCCCGACATGCCTATCTCCCCCTTCCCCCCCACATCCATCAGTCCTCAGTTTGTTTCTCAGTATTCAAGAGTCTCTCATGGTTTGCCTCTCTCCCTTTCCTCCACCATTTCCCCCCTTCTTCTCCCCCATGGTCCACCGTCAAGTTCCTCCTAATCCTCCTATACGTGCAAACATATGATATTTGTCCTTCTCTGCCTGACTTATTTCACTCAGCATAACACCCTCAAGGTCCATCCATGTTGCTACACATGGCCAGATTTCATTGTTTCTCATTGCCATGTAGTATTCCATGGTATAGATAAACCACATCTTCTTGATCCGTTCGTCCATTGATGGACACTTAGGCTCTTTCCATGTTTTAGCTATTGTGGAGAGTGCTGCTATGAACATTGGGGTCCATGTGCTCCTATGCATCAGCATTTCTGTATCCCTTGGGTAAATTCCTAGCAGTGCTATTGCTGGGTCATAGGGGAGTTCTAGTGTTATTTTCCTGAGGAACCTCCAGAGGGGCTGCACCAGCTTGCATTCCCACCAACAGTGTAGGTGGGTACCCGTTTCCCCACATCCTCGCCAGCATCTAGAGTTCTCTGATTTGCTCATTTTAGCCACTCTGACTGGCGTGAGGTGGTATCTCAGTGTGATTTTGATTTGTATTTCCCTGATGAGGAGGGATACTGAGCATCGTTTCATGTGTCTGTTGGCCATCTGGATGTCCTCTTTGGAGAAGTGTCTGTTCATATCTTCTGCCCATTTCTTTACTGGGTTGTTTGTTTTTCGGGTGTGGAGTTTGATGAGTTCCTTATAGATTTTGGATATTAACCCTTTATCTGATATGTCAATAAATAAACATTTTTTTAAAAATGTTTGAATTAAACATTAAAGAGTGCTGCCAGCTTTGAGTATCATTTATCCCAATATTTAGAGATACTTTGATATATAGAACAGCTCCCACTGTGTGCATTATTTCCCTTCTATGCATCTTGTTGCCTGTTTTTCTATTTTCCCATAATACTGCAATGTATAACCATTTATAGAAATAGCTGAGTGTCTTAAAACATTATGTGCTCATATGATTGTTTCTTTCTTGACATTTTAATTTGTGCATCATTCAGAAAAGGAAGAATATCTACATAGTAATACAAGGAAAATTTTATTAATTATTTACTCCATGAAGACATCACAAAATGTAATGAAAGTAATTCAGTCAATAATTGAAAGGAATTTCTTTATAGAATCAAGTAAACTCACAAGTATTTATAATAACACTATTTTAATCATACATTTTTACATTATTAATTATCAGTTTGTTCTTCATAAAGACATACTGAAGATCCTTGACTCTCTTAGATAAAAGAACCAACTCTGTTCATAATTAGTCTAAATTCAACCTTTTACATTGCTTATGTTTGGCTTACTCATGTCATTCTTTTCTTATCCTTTTCTGCAGTTTTAATATCAGGATGCAAATTATTAATTTCAGAACAATTTCTGAGTCTCTTTTAAGTGCAGAATTCAGATGTTAAGTGACAAAGCCTTCATGAAGTTTATTACCTAAAGGTTACTTTCCTTCCAATACTCTCTGGGAAAAAAAATTGCCATAAGTTCTTTTTCTTTTTTGTGATACCTCAACCTACTCTTACCTATTATGGTTCACTCAAGACACAGCAGTACAAGGGTTTAAATTACCCTCCTTTCGCAGAAAAACTTATTTCCTTTTTAGGGTCTAAGTTAAAACTTGATCCCTACAATGAAACAACAATACAAATGTCACGACACTGCCTTGGTTATTCCAAAGGACTGAGGTGGGGTAGGAGGTGGGAAGAGTGAGTTGTCCAATGGGCATAACATTTCAGATTTCCAACATGAGAAAGTTCTGGAGATTTTTTTCACAACAATGTGAATATACTTAATGCTACTGAACTGTACACTGTAAAAAGGTTAACATGGTGAATTTTATGTTATGTGTGTTTTTACCACAATAAAGACATATATTTGGAAAAAAAAAGTAAGCTCTATGATTATAGCTTACAAATTATAGCTCTGTATTTACTTATTTATTTTTTTAATGTTTTATTTATTTCTAGGAGAGAGAGAGAGACAGCGTGAGCAGGTGTGGGTCAGAGAGAGAGGGAGTCTCAGAATGAAACAGGGTCCAGGCTCTAAGCTGGCAGTCAGCACAGAGCCCGACGCGGGGCTCGAACCCACGAACCGCGAGATCATGACCTAAGCAAAAGTCAGACGCTTAACCGACTAAGCCACCCAGGCGCCCCATATAGCTCTGTATTTAAACTGAGAATCACCTCTGGCCTGAAATGGTCTTTAAATGAAATGGTTTCCACTCATCATATAGATAGGTGATATATATACTCATTATATATATGACATTATAATAAATTCCTTACTATATAATTTTTAAAAATTCTTTTAATGTTTATTTACTTATTTAGGGAGAGAGAGAGAGATAGTGCAAGTGGTGGGGTGGGGGGGAGCAGAGATAGAGGGAGACAGAATCCCAAGCAAGCTCCATGCTATCACCACAGAGCCTACAGACATGGGGCTCGATCTCACCAACTGTGAGATCATGACCTGAGCTGAAATGAAGAGTCAGACACTTAACTGACTGAGCCACCCAGGTGCCTCCTTTATTCTATAATTTTTAACAGAGCCCAGCAGACTTTATAAGTTATTTTGTGTATACATATATATGTAGAAAACCTTAGAGCTATTCTGAATTTAGTTGCTCTCAGCCTTAGTTAAGTGGAAAATCAGACACAGACATGAGTGTAAGGAATTTACTAATCCTACAATTGAAGCTAAAAAGGGGAAAATTGACCTCTTAATTTCACCAAATAATTAGAAGGGCATTAAGGAGACTATGCCTTTGAATGAGTAGGCACAGTTCTAAACTGGGTAAGATCTAGCAGTAGTGCTCTGGCTCATGACCATCTTGTCTCAATTTCTCCATGTTCCAGGGAAAGGCAGTTTTTCCTTATCCTTCCTTGTGGAGTCGGACATTGCTCCCATTGCTCGATTGTTCATCTTTACTATTTTACCGGATGGAGAAGCCATCGGAGATTCACAGAGTTTTAAGATTGAAAATTGTCTAGCCAACAAAGTGAGTGTCTTCAGCATAAAATTACAACACAAATAAATGGAACTATAGGTGTTGGAACTATAGGATGATATAGGTATCATCCATTTACCTCAGGGAAAACTGAGTCCAGAAAATTAAGTAAGTTGCACACAGGATCCCTGCAAGTTAATGGCACCACCAAATCTCCAGGCACCTAGCACAATACTTTTCCAGTTATGCCACATTGCTACCAAATTTGCTGCCAAATTGCTACCACATAACTAAAACATAGTTCAACCTTGTGTCCATGATGCCCTATCCACTAACTCAATTACATGAGGTATGTAAGGTGCTAAGACTCAAACGTTCCCCAAACCTTAAGGACAAATACCTAGAATCACCTTATAATGGGTCAGAGGTAAAGACGGGCCTTTCTATATCAAACAAGCTATTTACCCCTTATGAGCTATCCGTTGTTCCTTTAGGACAAGACTGAGCTATTGAATAAACCTTTTCAACAGCAAAGGGAAGACAGGAAAATAGGTTCCTGACTTAATGTAAAGTTGGCTCGGGAAATGTGGGTGACGGCAGGATCCCAAAAGTCGAGGAAGTGCTGACTGACTTTTCCTTCTATTCTCATAGGTGAACTTGAGCTTCTGTCCAGCACAAAGTCTCCCGGCCTCACACGCCCGCCTGTGAGTCTCAGCTTCTCCTCAGTCCCTCTGCGCCCTACGTGCTGTGGACCAAAGTGTGCTGCTCATGAGGCCCGAGGATGAGCTGTCCCCAGCCTCGGTGAGTTCCCAGCAGCCTCGTGGGTCAGGAAGGGCCACATGAGGGACCAGGGGAGGGTGGAGAGGGGAGAGGAGAAGCCCTTATTAGGAGTGAAATGTAATAAAAATAGTCACCATTTGTCAAAATTTTATAATTTCTCAAGCTTTCTCACATAAAGCCTTCATGTGAGCCTCCCAACACCTCAGGGAATAATGGACACATTTGAAGATGTGAAAACCAAGATTCAGAATGTTTGAGAGATTGGTGCAAGATTACCCAGAAGTAAATGACATAGCTGAGATTCTGAAACTGCCCACTAGCTTTGATCTCTTCCACGACATAACTTCTTTTCCTCTAGGGAATCAAATCTAAGTCTCATGCTTTACAATGATGTTAATGAAAGCTAAATTTTGTTAAGATTCACCACTTATGTGATGGTTATGTTTACAAAAGAGAATTAATAAGTTGACAAAATATTTGATAATATGGATCCTACCTAAGAAAATCATTTTTGATCATTGTAGTAAGTAGGCGTTTTAGAAAAACTGGTATTACAAGCGTAAGTCATGTACCTTCCAGCAGATCTATTTATATCTCTAGAGTTCTTGAGATCTGTGAAAATGGTCATAAGTGATTTACAAGTTATTTTCAATTAAAAAAATGATTGACTACACTTTTGTCAGCAATGATGAGTCACAGACTAACTAAAATTTTAAGTCCCTTCTTTTTTTCTAGAATTGTATTAATTCATAGTGGTAATATTGGGTGTGTCACATTGATTTTTTTCATCATTGGTTATTTTTATCATCATCATCATCATCACCACCTTGCAGGCCCACTATGTGCTAGGTCTATTTTAGGAGCTGGGGAAATAGCAGCAAACAATCAGAGTCTTTGTCCCTTATAGAGCTGTCCTTTTAGAGGGACTATAATAAGAAATTGCTTGTGGCTCCGAAAATAAAAAATTGGTTAATAATTAGCATTAGGAGAAAATACTTCCAAACATGCAGTTTTTGAAAACTATCAGAAGGAGAAGAAACTACAGAAACTACTTTTCTAACCTATTTAAAACTAGATAACTGGGGGCACCTAGGTGGCTTAGGAAGTTGAGCATGACTTCAGCTCAGGTCATGATCTCATGATTCCTGAATTCGAGTCCCATGTCGGGCCCTGCTTCAGATTCTGTGTCTCCCTCTCTCTCTGCTCTTCCCCAGTTCACACTCTGTCTCTCTTTCAAAATAAATGAACATTTTAAAAATTTTTTAAAAAAACTAGTCATCTTTCAAAAGTGCTCAGTATGATGTGAGAAAAATGATATGTTACTGGAATTTAATCATTGTCAAAAAGCTGTCACTGGTGAATTTTATAGCTTTAATTGCCTTATGGATGAATATTTAAACAGATCAGTTCATTAACTTGCCTATCTGGGATTTATTATTATTTGGCAATACTGGAGGATAAATCAGTAATATTGAAGTTTCTTTTGGTTTTGTTCTAGTTTCTACTTCCCAAAATTCATTAATAGGTACTACATTTTTAAGCTGTGAGATAACCATATCAAGAATCACTATCTTGTTTCTAATCATCAAAATTAACATTCTTCGGAAGGAAGGGTATAATAAAAATTGTTTTCAACCTAAGCATTTTATTAACAGGTCAAAATATCTCCTCATAGCATAATAACTATTATAGAAAAGACAAATTCTTCTTACCATAGTTTTCTATTTGAATTAGAAGGTGGCATGGTGAAGTTACCTGAAAAAAGGGGACTTATTCTCTCTGGACACTTTCCTTGGAAGAATGCCTTTTTTTTTTTTTTTTTACACTCTGTATTTATGTAGTCTATTCTGAGCTATTTTTCAGCTTATATTAAAGAACTTTAGTCTACTTTCCAATACTTTTTATGTTTATCCTATTTTGTTTAGTTATATAAATTTAACAGTTGATTCAGGTGCATAAACAGCTTTGAACATTATAGAGATAAAAAAAGATTATAAACATACTTGGAGACTTGGGCTTTTAAAGTTTTAAAGTTGTAAAACTCTTCACCTCACTTACTTTGACAATAACCTGGAAAATATTCGTTCATCCAGTAGAGATGGAGAATGCTCATTTGTGCGACCATTTGGTTCTCCTACTCAAGAACAAAGTAAATAGATAAAGAAGTTTAAAGAGTGTATGAGGTTAGTTATCAACTGCTTCATAACAATGCTCCCCAAACGTATTGGTTGAAAACAATAAACATTTATTGTTATAGGCACTTTTTGTGGATTAAGAATCCAGAAGTAACTTATCTGAGCTAAGTGACTGGCTTGTGATCTCACCTGTTCGTCAACATGGCCACATGTTACTAGGGCTTCAATCATCTGAAGGCTTGACTGAGGTTGGAAGTCTACTTCCAAGATATGCTGCTCATACAGTTGTCAGGAGGCCTCAGTTCCTCAACACACTGACTGAGTGTCCATGGGGCTGCCTGAGTGTCCTCAATACATGGCAGGTGATTACCTCCAAAGCAAGTGATCCAAGAGAGAGAAGTTAAAGCTGTGATGTGTTTTATAACCTGGCCTTGGAATTTACACACTATCACTTCCATTCATTATGGGAGGAGCTATAGGAGAGCACTAATACCAGGAAGTAGAGGTTACTGGGGGCAACTTTGGAAGCTGTGTTCACAGTTTTCCCTCTGACTCCCAATGACTTATAACCTTCCCAGATGTAAAATACATTCACTTTCCTCCCAAACCCAAACCTTAGAAGTCTCCTTCCCAAATAGCAGCAGCCCAAAGGTTGAATGAACTTCATCATTCAATTTAGGCCCAGGTATAGTTGATGTTCCTTGGGTGTAGTTCCTCAAGTACAATTCCTTTAGCTATGAAGACCTTAACTTAGAATGTACATAAAGTATTTACCTCCATACATCCAGCATACAATGGTGGAACTGACATACTGATGCTCCTGTTCAAAATGGGAAACAAAGGCCCATAGGAGGTATTGGTGCATGGCAATTCTGAGATCCAGCCAAAGGCTGGAAGTCCTTTGATTAGGACTCACTCTTACTCCAGCCTAGAATATAAATATCCAAGCCTCTTGGCTCCTCTCTATGGATTCTTTGTTCTTTCATTTTGTCATCCTTCTTGTTAAAAAAAAAAAAAAAAAAAGGTGTCCTGTGTTTGCAATTGTGTAGACATTGTTCTATTGAATATCAATGATATATATTCATTTATGTACCTATGTGGTTTTTCTATCCAAGAATAAAGTTATATAGAAATAGAAGTTTAACAGATTGCAATAATTCCTACCTAAATTAGAATATTTTTTCTTTTCTTTTTTTTTTTAAAGTTTATTTAGTTTTGAGAAAGAGAGAGGGAGGGGCATAGAGGGAGAGAGAGAGAGAGAGAGAGAGAGAGAGAAAATCCGAAGCAGGCTCCATGTTGTCAGCACAGCACCCACCAATGCAGAATTCAAACTCATGAACCAGAAGACCATGATCTGAACTGAAATCAAGAATTGGGGGGCTCCTGGGTGGCTTAGTCAGTTAAGCAACCAACTTCAGCTCAGGTCATGATCTCGTGGCTCATGAGTTTGAACCCACCATCGGGCTCTGCTCTGACAGCTCAGAGCCTGGAGCCCATTTTGGATTCTGTGTCTCCCTCTCTCTCTGCCCCTTCCCAGCTCTTGCTGTCTCTCTTTCCTTCAAAAATAAACATTAAAAAAGGAATCAGCCACTTAACTGACTGAGTCATCCAGATACACCTAAGTTTGTCAGATTATTAACTATTCATCAAACACAGAGACAATTTAGATCTTTCTCTATTTGATCATGTTTTACCGCTAAACATTTTTTCATTAACTTTTTATTAATCCTTGGTAATTTAAGTTTTATTATTCCTTAGAAACATTTTCCCAGGTAGGTTTTATGTCAATAAAACCACTACAACAAAAGCACTACTAAAAATAAACAAACAAAATTTTAACTTCTCTCTAAGGTACCAACTACTTGAAGGTACTCAAGAAAGAATTAATGATTATTATCACACTTCTCTTAGTTCACTGGGTATTTAAAAAGAAAAACAGGTAAGAGCTCTGTCTTTGATCTCCCCTGTGTAACAGGTATATAATCTGCTAACGATGAAGGATCTTACTGGTTTTCCTGAAAATTTGGACCAGAAGGAGGAAGAACATGCAAGTTGTAGCCATTCTTATATCATCCATAAAGGAGCCATATACATTCCCTTAGCCAGTTATGATGAAGAAGATATGTATGACTTCCTAAAGGTAAAATCCTTATTACCTATTAATTTACTGGCTTATGGACATTTTGCTATATAGAAATATATAGTTTTATTAGAACATGTTTAGCCTAAGTTGATAAGTCAGAGACAGGGCTAGACCCAACCTCTGCCATTTCATTGAAATATTTTAGTTATATTTCGTTTTTTGCAAAAGGCCATAAATTATAAAATCTTAATAAGCCATAAAGTGTTATCATTTTGCCACTCTTTTATTGAGTCTGTGTATCCCCATGGAATTAATATAAATTTAAGGCTGTTGGGGTTACACAGGGAAATTTCTAACCAAAATATCTTTCTAATCAAGTTTACAAGCCTATTGAGTCACCGTTTTTACAGGGTATGGGATTAAAGGCGTTCACCAATTCTAAAATCCGAAAACCACCGTCATGTCCAATGATCCGCCCACCTGCAGAAGCAAAAAGGCAAACAATATATGGAGGTAAAATAAAAAGTTACTTTCAATTTTGTATAACATCCAACAATATTTCTTTGTCAAAACAATGTAAAATGAGATAGATAGTGTAGCCCTATCTCCATTTTATCCATAGAGAAACCAAGATTCAGATAAGATATTTCTTGCTGAGATAATTCAGCTGGTAAATGGCATAGCCAGAACTGACTAGAGTTTCTTAAAGGTCAGTCAGATTATTTTATTTTATCTTATTTTATTTTATTATTTTATTAAGACAGAGAGAGAGAGCGAGAGCACACAAGCAGTGGAGGGGCACAGGGAGAGAGAGAGAATCTTAAGGAAGCTCCATGCTTGAAAAAAAAAAAAAAAAAGGAAGCTCCATGCTTATCATGGATCCTGGTGCAGGGCTCAAAATCATGACTATGAGATCACGATCTGAGCTGAAATCAAGAGTCAGACACTTAACCAACTGAGCCATCAAGGCGCCCCTACGTGAATCGATATTTCAGGGCACAAAATCAGATGAAACACATGATTCTACTATACTATAAGAAAATAAAATGTTTCCAATGTAAGGAGAGAATAATTCTAATTATGGAATCAGGAGACACTTTTAGAGATGCTATATCTTAAAGAATGGAAAAGAAGAGAAAGGGTCTCATTGGTGAAAAGAAACAATATGAAGATGGCAGAAATATCTCCTAATCCAAGGTCAAAAGACAAAATAAAACATCAAAAGAAGTAGCCTCTTTCTACAGCCTTCAATTTCCCATTAAAATACATGTTCCACTCCCCAGATCTATTTATACTTGCAGCCCATTAACAAATCCTTTTTCCTCTCTCTCTCATGATCCCGTCTTTTCTTCCAAAATATTCTTGATATAATGAAGATTAACATCTTTTGAGTTTTGTGTTTATGGATCGGAGGTTTTATGTATCAAGTAAGCAGGATAGATGGCTTTATTGAGATATAACTGATACAGAACATTAAATAATTTTAAGGAATACAGTGTTTTTATCTGATGCACTTACATATTGCAAAATGATTATCACTATAGCATTAACTAAAATCTCTTTCACCTCATAATTTCCATTTCTTCTTTTTTTATTTAAAATTTTTATTTTCATTCCAGCTAGATAACATACAGTGTTATACTAGTTTCAGGTGTAGAATTTAGTGATTCAACACTTCCGTATGTTACCTTGTGCTCATCATGACAAGTGCACCCCTCATTTCCCATCGCCTATTTAACCTATCCCCTTCCCCACCTCCCAGCTGGTGACCATCAGTTTGTTCTCTATAATTAAGAGTCTGTTGGTTTTCCTCTCTCTCTCCCTTATTTTTTCCCTTTGCTTGTTTGTTTTGTTTCTTAAGTTCCACACATTAGAGAAATCATATGATATTTGTCTGTTTCTGACTGTGTTAGGAATACTATTTATCAATCAAAAAAAAATCTTGCCATTTGGAATAACATGGGTGGAGCTGGAGAGTATGATGCTAAGCAAGATAAGTCAATCCATTTCTTTTGTATGGTTCTCACCACTTTTCAAATGGAAAAATGGAACCCAGAAAGACTAAGTAACTCAAACCATTAGGATGCCACAGCCAGTAAGATATGAGATGGGGCTTCATATCTGGCTGTTTGACTCCAGACCCATGTTTCTTAACCTCAACACGATTCTGTCTCTCAAGGGCTGTAGGGCGAGAGCTTGCCTGGAATGTTCTAAGAGTAAGGAAACCAGCACGGTTGGATCAGAATGAATAAAGTAAGAGCAGCTGGAGAGAGAGATCAGCAGAATAATTGAGGCCGAATTGTGTAGGGCCTTGTAGATCATTGTAAGAATTTGACTTTTTACTCTGCATGAGATGGAAAGATTTTCAGAAGGAGGGAGTGATGTGATCTAATATGTTTCTTATAAGGATCACACTAGATACTGAATTTAGAAGAAAATTCAGTTTTGAATTTTTATGCTTTTTTGCTTGAAAGTAGTAAAGGTCAAAAATGAATACAAATCTAAATTGAGTGGCCCTTTTGCAGCCATGAACAGAATATCCAGTTGAAAGTATTTTGTGATCAGCAGTGAAATGGAATGTGAGTGAATGTGTCCAGGGATCAACACAGTTTGATGAAGTCAGATGGAGAAAAGAAGCAAAATAACGACAACAACAACAGCTTGTCTTAGGAAATGAGTGTAAAGGCATTTACAGTAGAGTTTATGAGTCGTGACACAAGGAGAATGGAATTTTAACAGAAACACTGTGAAAGGATCTGAAGTTGACCTTGAGAATGAGACAATAAAGAGGATACAATCACCATCCAATAAATGGAGTTAAAATAACACATTATTTGTTAACTGTAATAGCTGGAGAGGTTAAAGGACCTTTGGCATCTGTAGCAGGAAAGAGAAAACAGCTTATTTAGATGCATCATCCATTTAGATACTAAAATTTAAGTACCAATAACATATTCAACATAAGGAGTAAAAAAGAAAACAGAGACAATAGAGCAACATCAGGGAGAAATTAAAGTTATAAAAAGCGATGGCTACCAATACGGAAGGACATAAGGGAAAGAAGTTGTCTGACATTAATTAAAGAAATTTCCTGTTGATGTTTTTTACAATTGAGAAAGATATCAAAGAAAAAATGTCTGGAAAAATTTTTAATAAATATTCTTTCACAAGGCAATTCTGAAATATCACATGGGGTACGTGATGGAGAGCCCAATCCAAACTCAGTTACAAGCACAACCCAAGGCACAAAGACCAGAAAGCTTTCATGTTTAGTTCTCTATCCCGTCACTTTTATAAATAATTTCTCTGTCTTCATCCTAGCAAAATGGAAATAGCTTTCTATGGCATCTTGAATTTTTCATTTCTCCTCTCCAAGAAATAAAGAGAAGAAAATCGAATGCTCTAACCTTGGTATCAAGAGAACAATGAGTTTATGAGCTTCGTTATAGCGCACAAAGAATTGATATTATTAAATTCTGTTCACCCATTGGTAATTCGAACAATTGAACACTTGTTGCCTGAAGAGAGTTTTGAATTCTCTGTTCAGTCCTTCTTATCAAGGAAACAATGCTCTGTGACCTTGAAAACCCATTACGTCCGCCGCAAACTGTAAATGCATCTCCAAGTTACCTTGCTCTATGAGCCTCCACTCACATAAAATTATGGTATCTCTAGGATACATGGAATTTCTACCTTTAACAAAGACTCCTGTCTTCAAAGAATGAGGGCTCAACAAGTTACTTCCAAAGTTCTACAACTCTTAGGAGACCGTCTGAGCAGGTTAACTGAAAATCTCCTCTCTAAGTCTCACGCATATGCCATGAATGGATGTTTTTTGTTTAACTAGATTGTAATTTTCCTTTATTTTATTAGCAGGAATGGCAGCAAGTCCGTATAGTCCTCAATTTGACTCGTCTAATATAATATCTATAAATAATATGCAAAATCCAGAGCCAGTCACTGAAATAGTAAGGACTTATTTCCCTGAGACCTGGATCTGGGAGTTGGTGGTGGTGGAGTAAGTAATTTCACTCTCCTCCATTTGCTGTGGGTGAGTGTATGTGGATCCTCCAGCATTTTCAACTCTAAGATAGACTTTCTGAGAAATTCTAAATAATCATCTTAACCTCTCATCTTTTCCAGATAGGTCTAAGAAAATGCTTTTATTATATAGGTTTTAAATATAATATAAAGGTATATTATATTTCATTATGTAGGTAAAATTGTCTCAGAGATAAGCGATTTGAAAATAAGTATTCCTGAGCCTTCCAGAAAATAGACATGGGTGCTACAAATATCCAAATGCAGGACTGCCTAGCTATGGAGGGAACCTTCCATAAACCAGATTGGAACACACATATAAACAACCGGGCTACGTAAATGTAATGGTCTGCTTGTTACATCATGATTCTTAAATATGCTTGTTTATGGGAATTTACAACAGTGAGGAACATCTATGGACCAAACTGAATCACATTCAACTATTTTTCTTTGAGGTACAGTTATGTTGATAAGGGAAAGAAGCACCAGCTAGTACCTACTATTTTCCTGACTTGATTTCCCAGTATGTAATCTGGTGTACTCATGTGCACATACTGATTCTCACTTGAGAAAAGATGTTTCACCTGCTTTCTTTCTCTTCTTCACATTTCTATCCTCCTCAGCTCATCAGGTGTGGCTGAAGTGGGTGTGACAGTCCCTGACACCATCACTGAGTGGAAGGCAGGCGCCCTCTGTCTGTCCAATGACACTGGACTTGGTCTCTCTCTTCCCGCCTCCCTCCACACCTTTCAGCCCTTCTTTGTGGAGCTCACCATGCCCTACTCTGTGATCCGCGGAGAGACCTTCACACTCAAGGCCACTGTCCTAAACTACCTTCCCAAGTGCATCCAGGTAAGAAAAATGAGGGTGAACCGAAAGGGTGGAGAGAATCAAAGACTTCCTCGGTCAGTCAGCTCCTGATTCTGTTCCCAAGACTGTGGAGACTCCTGGGGATTCTGCACTAGAACTGCAAATAAAATAGTGCTAAGCAAGGCAGGGCATGATCAGGAAGATAACACAATGACATTTGAGCTACAGGTACAAGATCTCCAAACCATATACTTTTAAAAAGAAAATTTCCTGAATCTGGCAGTATCCTTTACCACGAGATAGGCTTTTTGTCAGGAAAAGCCTTGATGCTGACAGAAAACTCCTCTTTCTTAATTCCGTAAGTGTCATTCTTCAAGTTCTTATCTCTAAACGCCAACAATATGCTTGCAACTTCTACAGCATGTATTTCTTTGTAAATTGTGTCACAGTTTTGTATATAGCTTATCCCCTTTGTAACATAATATTCTCAAGGTCATGAACCTCTTAATTTGCTCTGCCTTGTGTATAGTAGACAGGTGATATTTGTTGAGGGAAGGAGGGAAGAAAGAAGTCAGGAAGAAAATCTACATGAGCGGTAGGAACCAACAAGTAGAACCAGTAGGTAGTGCTCCCATAGGCAATATTCCATTGCTGTTTTTCCCTTCCCTCCACCATTGCTATACCTGCGGATTTCTCAAATCTACTCTAATGCAAAGGCCAGATCCTCCCAGTAAGTAATCATTCTTGCTTTGTATCACTGCCATCCTTATACTCCTCAAAGCATGCATGAATTTACATGACATAATTGGTTTTTCCAAATCTCAATTTAGTGCAGCATCTCATACACAGTCCCAGTTCTGTGCATTCATTGTCTCTCCATATTCCGATCTTTTGTTTCTATGCCTCACTTGCAAATGATAGGTCAGTGTGCAGCTGAAAGCTTCTCCAGCCTTCTTACAATCCCAGAATGAAAAGGGAAAGGAATCCTACTGCATCTGTGTAAATGAGAGGCAAACCCTGTCTTGGACAATAACTCCTAAAACTCTGGGTGAGTGATATTCCCCCAATTAACAAGTGTGGTAAATATCTGAACCCTATTTACATCATCTTCTCCTTTTTCTTTCCCACAAATATAATTCCATAAGGTTAGTTTTGTACTTCTTTTGATTTCTACCCACAATGGCCTCCTACTACTCCCGTTGCACCTGGGCCCCACGATCATTGTACCTGGGCACAGTGGACATTAGCCTTAGGTTTTTTTTTTTTCAGCTTTATTTCCTATTCCAGCCAATAGTAAGGTTAAAGTACAGCCCTTCAATATGATTACAGAGCAGAGTCATTTTCAGGTCTTAAGAATGGCTTGGACTGATGTCAAGAGGAATGCTTTTTTTTTCTACATTCATTGTTTCAGGAAATGTGAACTTCTCGGTGAGTGCAGAGGCAGTGCATTCCCTAGAGCTGTGTGGAAATGAGGTTGCTGAGGTCTCTGAGATTGGGAGAAAAGACATGGTCATCAAAACCCTGTTGGTGGAGGTAAGTCGGTCTGGCCCCACTTTGACATATTTTTCTAAGTAACAATAATAACAATGAAAAATATGGCAATATTCTTGAAATAATAAAGGGTAATTAACACCATACTTACACAATCCACCTGGTAAAACCAATGGAATTTCCCGTCCTAAAAGTATTGTAGGAGTCGGTTAAGCATCCAACTCTTTTTTTTTTTAATTTTTTTTAATGTTTTATTTATTTCTAGGAGAGAGAGAGAGAGAGACAGCGTGAGCAGGGGAGGGTCAGAGAGAGAGGGAGATACAGACTCTGAAATTGGCTCCAGGCTCTGAGCTGGCAGTCAGCACAGAGCCCGACGCGGGGCTCGAACCCACGAGATCATGACCTAAGCGAAAGTCGGACGCTTAACCAACTAAGCCACTCAGGCGCCCCTAAGCATCCAACTCTTGATTTTGGCTCAGGTCGTGGTCTTATGGAAGTGGGATCAAGCCCTCTGTCAGTCTCCACACCTAACATGGAGACTGCTTAAGACTCTCTCTCTCTCCCTCTGCCCCTCATCCCTGCTCATTCTCTAAAATAAAATAGAATATAAAAAAAATAAAAGTATTATAGTAAACTTTTCTAACTAACCTTGTTAGCTTATTGTAAATACTTTTTCTTAGATTATTTTAGAGCTATTTTCTTTTCTTGATCTCTACCTCTCTTCTAAGATTCATTTATTTCTCACACCTTTTACCTTTGATTCTCTTTCCTTATTATCCCTCCTTTTCTCCTCTGCTGTTCTCCCTGGTCTTTCAAATTGTATGGATCTATAGTAATTTGATAATAAGTAGGATATTAAGATTGTTTATTATAAACTCCACCCTTCAGTGCAATGAATCTATGGTTATTCCCCAGAAGACTGGATCTTTATCCCTTTTCTCCTTTTTTTTCCCACTCCAGCCTGAAGGTATTGAGCAAGAGAAGACTTTCAACTCTATGATCTGTGTTTCAGGTAAGAGTCCATCTTCATAATCATAGTGAGAATAATGCTTCACAGGGATATGTATGTCAAGTTACAATGCATGTCTATACATATTATCTCCTATTATTATTAGAATGTTCCCTTGGGGTGCCTGGGTAGCTCAGTCGGTTAAGTGTCCAACTTCGGCTCAGGTCATGACCTTACAGTCTGTGGGTTTGAGCCCCGTGTTGAGCTCTGTGCTGACAACACAGAGCCTGGAGCCTGCTTCAGATCCTGTGTCCCCCTCTCTCTCTGCCCCTCCCCTGCTCGATCTCTGTCTTTGTCTCTCATATTTTGAGAAATAAAAAAATTTTTACAGAATGTTTCCTTAAATTGGCATAGCAATAAATATTTCTTTATAACATTTTGTAGAAGATGACACTCAGCCCAAGAGAGAGCATCAACATGGGTTAGGGAATAGACAAGACTATGGCTGGGGCTTGCTCAGTTTACATTTAACTTTTACCTCCATAGCCCAGTGGCTGATCATGAACCAGTCAAGATATAGTAGCTAAGTGTCATAGTCTAGGCAGAAGGAGAGCTAAGTTGTGGTAAGTTTGAACAACAATTATATTCTCTAAAATAGTTGATGATGAAATGAGTACTTTGTACTCATCTTACTAAAAAAAAAAAATATGTTTCATGGCAAAAAAAAAAAAACCCACAACACTTTACATTGAGAATTTATCATATCATTAAGATACACCTGTACCTTGTAAATTATGTTGCCACATTAGTATTAGTGCTACGTTCATAGTGTATATGACACTTTTCTTGTCACTTGAGAAGGACCAGTTGAAAACATAAAATCAGAGAACAATGAAATCAGAGAATTACACAATTAAATAAAAAACTATACACCCTCACCAGTTCCCAGGCTCTTTTTCAAGAACCACTATGCACAACAACACAAAACATAGTAAAGTGAGAGGGGAAAGGAGTCTGGTAACTATCTAGTGCCAAGAAGAGCTGGATTATTAAAGGTAATAGTCCTTATTCCTGGGACCCTGGGTCCGTGAAGGAGACCTAATAACATTACCGCTGAATATAATAATAACAACAATAACAACTGCTCACATGTCTTGAGATTTAACATGTTGCAGAGGCTGCTCTAATGCACATGTTTTACATGCATTCTTCATGGAATCATCATATGACCAAGTTAGACGATGAAAAGGTTAAGTAATTTGTCCAGGTTTATCACTAGTAAGTGGCAGGGCCAGTACTGTATCTGAGCAGGGTGGCTCTGAAGCCCTCCTCCCTAACCACCACATTGTGTTGCTATAAGATATGCCATCTTTGATATGGGTTTTCTGTTTCCAAAGGCACGGAAATATCTGAGCTGTTATCCCTGAAGCTCCCACCTAATGTGGTCAAAGAATCTGCCAGAGCCTCTTTTTCAGTTTTGGGTGAGTCATCTTGCACCCAGGAAACTTGGGACAAAAGAGCAGCCATAATACATTTGTATCTATCTATCTATCTATCTATCTATCTATCTATCTATCTATCATCTATCTATCATCTATCATCTATCTATCTATCTATCTATCTATCTATCTATCTATCTATCTATGTTTGTGTCTGAAATCTCAACTTATTGATAGCATCTATTTCTATTGGGATTCTGGAAGTCTCACTTTCTAAATAGAACTTTTCCCTTGCCTAAATGACAGTATCTATAATTCTAAATATGAAAATCATTTGTCTTTAATAGTGTTAGCTACTTATGAGCCAAAATTACTCTGACATCTAATCTTTCACATTCCCCAGGTGACATATTAAGTTCTGCTATGCAAAATATACACAATCTCCTCCAGATGCCCTATGGCTGTGGAGAACAAAACATGGCCCTCTTTGCTCCAAACATCTATGTCTTGAACTATCTGAATGAAACCCAACAGTTGACTGCAGAGCTCAAGTCCAAGGCCCTTGGCTATCTTATCAGTGGTGAGACAAAGAAATGTTTATTTTGTTGCTCTAATGAGATTTTTCCCAATTAAGCTTGAATTATATTACCAGATATTAAGCTAAAGATAGTGATTTTTGTGGAAATGACAATTTCCCCACCATTTAATAGGATGTTGTGTTGTGACATATCCATAAAATTATGACAGGTCCTATCACAAGAGATCATACAATGTCTGTGACTTCTGGATGCATCAACCTGCACCTATGGGTGCCTGGCCTTTCTGTAATACTTCTTGAACTAATTGAACCTTTCATTCCAGGCTACCAGAGACAGCTGAACTACAAACACCAAGATGGCTCTTATAGCCCCTTTGGACAGCAATATGGCAGGAGTCAGGGCAACACTTGGTAAGAAAAGAAAATCTACTCTGAGTTTCAACAATGAATTCACAGCATGTACATATATTAGCCCATTTATGTCTTACAACTATCCTGTGAAGTGAGAGCCACTTCATTTTACAGAGGAGGAAATGGCATACAACATGGATAAATAAATGGCTCTGGTATAAACAACCAATAAGTGGCAGAATTGAGAACACTTGGAGATTGATTCTTTTTATATCTAATACACCAAGTATCTTTTCTTTTTCATGTTGCTAAGAGACAATTGTAAGTTTGTGGTTTTCCCTCATAAGTTGTTGCTCAGCACTGAGAGATGCTGGTGACAGGCAAGAAAACAGCAGCCATTACTCACTGAGTGTACTTTACTACCTTCTACTAGATGACTCTGTCTGTCTGTCTGTCTGTCTCTCTTTGTTTCTCCATCCATCATGGTCAGTCTGTCCATCTATCTTCTGTGTGTTCATCCATCTATCTACTTGTCTATCTATCTATCTATCTATCTATCTATCTATCTATCTATCTTGAATAAGTCTGACCACACAAGAAAATGAGAGGAAATCAATGACCCAGAAAGTGGTGGAAGAGTGGTGGGTGAGGTGGACAGAAATATTTACTGAAGCAGGACATTAAAAATAGTTCATTAGACTATTAGCTGCAGATGAGGAGGTAAGATGTCTGTGAAAAAAGGGGCTCCTGGGTAGCTCAGTCAGTTAACCATCCGACTCTTGATTTCAGCTCAGATCAAGATCTCATGGTTTATGCGTTCAAGCCCCACATCAGGCTCTGTGCTGACAGCGCAGAGTCTGCTTAGAATTCTCTCTCCCTCTCTCTCTGCCCCTCCCCTGCTCACACACTCTCCCTGACTCTCAAAATAAATAAATAACTTTAAAAATGGAAATCTGTGAAAAGAAATAAATACAGAAAGTCCAGAATGTGAGAACAAATATCTTAACTACCCAAGGTGTCTAGGAGACACCTGAATCTCTAAAGCAACACAGAAATGCTTTAGGAAACAAGGACCAGTTGGTAATGCATTTAACAACAGGCTGCAACTAAACAAAAAAGAATATGGAAGCTGCCAGGTTAAGAGAAAAAGTCTCCAAACTCTCAGTAACGGTTCATTGACTCTTCAGGCTCACAGCCTTTGTACTGAAGACTTTTTCCCAGGCCCGAACTTACATCTTTATTGATGAAGCACACATCACCCAAGCCCTTACCTGGCTCTCCGAAAGACAGAAGGATGATGGCTGTTTCAGGAGCTCTGGGTCACTGTTCAACAATGCCATTAAGGTGAAGTGTTCTGAGTATTTATCCTGAACTTCATGATACACAAATGCTAATATTCTTCCAAAGCTGATGGGAGAAGAAACGCACAGAGAAGTTGCAAAGATGAAGTCCAGTGTTTTGTGAGAGGGCATCAGGGAAGGAATATTAAACCTGAAAACATTAGACCTGAGAAGAAAGAAATGATACTTTGCATGAGGATGTTATTTTGCTGGATAGAGACATACTGAGGAGAGTCTTCATGAAACAGAAGAGAAGAATATACTAAAATTTTAAATTAGGATTGATAAAAATTCTCGCTCTCTCTCCCTCTTTTCACAGGGAGGAGTAGAAGATGAAGTGACCCTCTCTGCCTATGTTACTATCGCTCTTCTGGAAATTCCTCTCCCTGCCACTGTAAGGTTCACCCCAATCCCATTTCCTACTGTGAAAACTACAGAGCTGAAATAAGTCTTCTTTAAAGACTTAACTATTAAGAGATTTTAAATATTTTTTTCAATTTCACTGTCATGGCTATCTGGCTGGCTACCAACCATGCCCAGGGCTTGCTCCATCCACTGCTTTCCCCAGGCTGACATCATTACATTTCTGTCTTTGCAGCACCCTGTTATTCGCAATGCCCTGTTCTGCCTGGAGTCTGCCTGGAGCACAGCACGGGAGGGAACCCCTAGGAGCCATAGCTATACCAAGGCGCTGTTGGCCTACGCTTTTGCCCTAGTGGGGAACCAAGAAAAGAAGAGAGAAATACTGAACTCTCTTAATGAGGACGCTGTGAATGAAGGTGAGAGGGAATGGTAAAAAAAATTTCCCCTTCTGCTTCCACTAATACTACAAAAAGATAGGAACTATGTTCCTGCTGAAAGCAATAAAGGCTTCATCTGGAATTCCTTATCCAACTCATGTATTATGATACCAGAGCACCTCTTATGAAAATGTCTTCTCTGTGATTTTTTATGTTATACAGTGTGTCACATAGTAGACAATGCTGCAGGTAAATTAGGGAAGTTTATTACTAACTGCTACATATATTTATATTTTTAATTTTTATATATTTTACATAATTACCTGCTTGAATGAAATTATACTTGAATGAAAAGAGGCACAACAAAAAACGATACTCAAAGAAGTGCAATGACATTTTCAAAGTGTTTTTATCTCTATTGGCAAAAGGGATGATCACAAAAGTCCTCTGGGAGCAAATAGGTAGGTTTTATATTCCAATTTATCCTCCAGTTTCCATGAAATATCCCAAGCAATAAGAGAATACTCTTGGGTGCCTGGGAGGGTCAGTCGGTTAAGCATCCGACTTCAGCTCAGAAATGATCTCACAGTTTGTGAATTCAAACCCCACATCAGACTCCGTGCTGACAGCTCAGAGCCTGGAGTCTGTTTCAGATTCTGTGTCTCTCTCAGTCTCTGCCCCTCCCCTTCTCACACACACACACTCACTCTCTCTCTCAAAAATAAACATTAAAAAATTAATTAAGAAAATAACATTTAAGACACTGATAAGGATGTTCCGTTCTTCTTCCTCCAACAACATTCTTCAACTTAATCCCACAGGACTAAACCAAGTTCAATATGGAAATGTGACTTAGGGAATTTGTGGGGCTCATGACAGAGAGGACCTTACTCCATCTCTATATTAGTTTCAGCTTCATGTGATACAAATGTGTTTTCATGTATCATCCACTGATAATTAGGATTCTCTCCTTTTTCTTACCCTGAAGACAACTCAGTCCACTGGGAGCGACCTCAGAAACCCAGGGCACCGGTGGAGCATTTTTACCAACCCCAGGCTCCTTCAGCTGAGGTGGAGATGACGTCCTATGTGCTCCTTGCTTACCTCACAGCACAGTCTGCCCCGACCTCCGAGGAGCTGACTTCTGCCACGCACATCGTGAGGTGGCTCATAAAGCAACAGAATGCCCACGGGGGCTTCTCCTCCACTCAGGTCTGTGGCTCCCAAACAGTCTTTCCTCCAGATTCACTTGGCAGATGGGAAGCTTGAAAATAGAAGAGTTACAAGGAAAAGAAAAGTGACCATTAAATCTTGGGGAGTGTTATTCAGGGATATTTGAGGACAGTGGGAATTTGAAGTAAGCAGACTTAAGACATTCCCTGAAAATGCTTTCCTCGGGTGCTATGTAAACACCCTACAAATGTGGCTACTTACCATAAACATCAGCCTTCTCAAGAGCTTACACATATTGGTCATTGGCCACACTCTAGACTAGGGTTTTTGAAAATCAGTGCTCTTGACATCTCGGGCCAGATAATTACTGTTGTGAGGGGCTATCCTGGACACCAAAGATGCTTAGTGGCACCCCTGTCCTCTCCCCCCAGATGGCCAATAGCATCCTACCTACTTCCAGTTGAGATAAGGTAAAATCGTCACTGGGTAAGAAACAGTGTTCTTGGCTCCAGACTACATCTGTAGGATTCTTCCAAGAAATCCTCTAAGGTGAACCAGAGAATTGTAGGATTAAAAGGAAAGTGACCGGAGCAACTGGGTGTCTCAGTAGATTGAGTGTCTGACTTTAGGTCAGATCATGATCTCGCAGTTTGTGAGTTCAAGCCCCACATTGGGCTCTCTGCTGTCAGTTAGCACAGAGCCTGCATTGAATCCTCTGTCCCCTTTTCTCTCTGCCTCTCCCCTGCTTGTTCTCTGTCTGTCTCTCTCTTTCTCCCTCTCTCTCTCAAAAATAAATAAACATTAAAAATTTAAAAAAATAATAAAAGGAAAGTGACCAAGCAGAATTCACTTCGATCTTCATGAAATGATTGAGAAGTTCTGTTCAGCCTCTCCACTCTTTCCTGCCTACCCTGCAAAATTTCTTCTTACTTCTCCTTTAAACTGATTTTTGTTTTCAAAGCTGAGGTTCTTGGAATTTTTTTTCCTACCACAATTCTGGAAATACTTTACTGAGGATATGAGTGATTGTGTTAAATATCCAGAGAATCTGGGTTTTCCCTTCTACAAACTTCTTTCAATATTTAGGATGTACATAGTGGGACTTTTGCTATTAAGAGGAATTAGGTGTGGGAAATGAAAATAAGCTATATAAAAGTGGGAAAGAAACTTGGGAAAGTGCAATGGTCCCGTAATACTACTCACAGCCAATTTTGGTCACTCTTCTATCTAAATTAACACCATTCACTCTTTTTCCTAACTCATTAATTTTAGACCCAATCTTTGAAAGCTATAGCCAAGAGCACCATTGATGAGAAAGAGTAGGCCATAGTTTCTGGATATAGGGAATAATTCCTTCGAACAAAGCCAATATAAGTGAAAATAAATTGCAAGGGTAATTGGCATCAGAAACTTTTATTTCACTTGCAGAAATTGTAGCATCACTTTGATGGGGACTGAAAGGCAGAGAAAAAGGAAAAACAATTAGCAGATGTGAACTTCATAGGGAAAAAGCCATTATCCCCTTGTGGTAACCAGCACAGACTTTGGGGCAAGTCCCTGCTACCAAAAACTTACTCATTGGGGGTGGGTTCTCCGTTCGTCTCTTCCAGGACACGGTGGTGGCTCTCCAAGCTTTGTCCAGATATGAAGCCACCACTTTCACCAGGACTGAGAAAGCTGCACAGGTGACCATTCAGAATTCACAGACATTTTCCATGAATTTCCAAGTGGATGAAAACAACTTCCTCTTACTGCATCGGGTCTCATTGCCAGAGCTACCTGGGGAATATGCCATAACAGTGACTGGAGAAAGATGTGTGTATCTTCAGGTGAGACTCAAGTTATGTTGGAAATTTTAACCTTAGAGAATGAAAGGGGGGCTCTGGTCTTTTGTTCCTGAACAAGTAAAGAGCAAATCTGGAGAAGTTAAACGATGAAAAAGTGAGGAGTCCTAGGCAAAGAGAGAAACTGATGGTGCATTGCTGTTCCACAGACATCCATGAAGTACAATATTCTTCCAGAGAAGGAGGACTTCCCATTTGCTCTGAAGGTGCAGACTGTACCCCATACTTGTGAGGGGCCCAAAGCTCACACCAGCTTCCAGATCTCACTGAATGTCAGGTAAGACTTCTTCTGACTGAATCACCCAATTCCGAGTCTAAAAGCTACCTGGAACAATAAACTATTTAAAAAATAATAAATAAATAAATAAATAAAAGCTACCTGGAACCATCAGTAATTAATATATTTTGAAGCTATGCTCTTAGGTGAGTATAATTGAAAATTGTTATATCTACTAATGAAGTTAACCTTGTATCACCATGAAGTGATTCTTTTATTTAGTAATATTTTTTGTCTTAAAACTTTAGTAATACTTCAAAAGCATTTAAAAGCAAAGTCTGGCCTTAAAATGTCAAAGAAAAAATAACTCTTCAAATGTTCTAAAAATTTCTTACATTTACACTAATTTTTGTTCAACTCTTCACTGAAGAGTAAATTATTTTCCACAAACATTTGTACTTTAGATTGAAGTAAGTCTTCTTTACCTCTTATGAATAGTTGCATTCTATTTTATTATTTTCTAATCAGATAAATAACAAATGCTAATATTAAATAGAAGTATAAATTAAATATAAGATATGGAAATTGCTCTATAATAACCCATCAAAAACTTATAAGAATCCTAAGAAAACATAGCAGCAATATAATACTATGTAACTAATACTAATGGTACTGGTATTGTAAAACAAATCTTGTTTCAGACAACCAACCTGATTAAAACACCAATTTATTCAAAATATAAAATATAAGTCTATCTGGTCTTGTAACACTTTGAAACCTCTCTGGGAGACATTCTACATTCAAGTTAACTAAAAATATAAAAGTAATACCTACAAAATAACAAACGCATAGATGAAAGTGATCAAAAACTATCATGTGTTAACAAGTGCAGATTGCCAAACTCCATTCCCAAAGATTCTGACTTGATAGTTTGGGACTGGGGCTTGAACATCTATGATTTTAGTAAGCTGTAGATCCCATGTGCATTCAGGGTTCCAAACATCAGTGTCATACATGTCCGAGGAACACAGATTTCTAGGAGAAGTCACAGAAAACTTCATGAAGACAGGCAGGTTTATGGTAGGTCTTGAAGGAGGGACTCTGACTTTCTTTCACATACAAAGCCCTTACTCCTTTTCCCTTTGACACTATAGTTACACAGGAAGCCGTCCTGTCTCCAATATGGTGATCGTTGATGTGAAGATGGTATCTGGTTTTATCCCCTTGAAACCAACAATAAAAATGGTAGGTGAATTTTAAGCATAGTGAATTTCATACAAAGGACGCTGTGTGTCTTCAAACTTGGAGCATACCGATAGCAAAGCCTTATCATTATCATCCTGCCCCTCCCCCAAGATATTTTTCTCAAACCCAGGAAATTAAATCCAATAACTGTTTATTTGTCTCTAAGCCGAGGGACTTGTGTGATACCAGGGAAACCCAAAAGGAGTCCCAGTCCTTAAGCTATTCACAGTCTAGTTAGGGAATTAAAGCATATGGGCACAAAACTTTATTTTATCAATGCAAGAAAGACAATGATTAAGTATCAAATTGGCTGATATGCTCTCAAACATTTGGCAATGATAGAATCGATGTGAACTAGAATCATCAATGATGCCAGAGAGTCTAATATGTTACTTGGATATTGAAACATGGTGGAAATCCTGATCTGAAAATACTGGCTTCTTTCTATTCATAGAAAGCCAGATGGTTTTTTCATGGTCAAGACATGAGAACACTGAAGGCTGTGTTCAAGTGTGATTCCTTCCCCTCACCCATCTTTTATATCTTTAATGTACCCTGGCTATTGAATCATGAAAATGATTTATAGGAATCCTAGCCCTGACATCATTTGGACATTTGTCCCTTACCATGATCTGCTGTCTTTCTAACTTTCTGATTTTTCTAATTTTCTTCAGCTCGAAAGATCTAGTCATGTGAGCAGGACAGAAGTCAGCAATAACCATGTCCTCATTTATGTGGAACAGGTAAGAGCTCTGACATTTTGGCTGAGACTATACATAATGGTGGTCTTTTAATTGAATCTCTTCATTAGAAAATAAGTAATATGAGGAAAGCAGTAATTAGTAGCACCCTTCTAGAAAGTCCCTTTATTCTAAAAGAATAAAAATCTCCTTTTAGGCCCATGGAGTGTTCTGGTCCCTTTAATTATGTTAAAAATGGAATATGAGTATTTCTATGAAATTTCAAGTAGAAAATCAATAAAACAAAAAGTCTATTGTGTCTGTTATTTTGAAGAGCTCTCCCAAAAGAATAAATAGATGATGGTAGTTGATTAATGATAGTGTAAACATTCTAATACATCACTCTATAAGATAAAATAAAATGTAGACTTTATGAATATCTTCAAATCTGACTATAAAGCAAACGGAATGTCTTATCCAGTCACACCAAAAAAAATAGCTTGATAATTACAAATGTTACAAAGCCAAGTTTCTGCATCTTAGAAAACATTCACATAGGCCCAGAGAGTTAATCTTATAGGGAAGCCTACAAAAGAATATGGATTGTCTCAACTGTTTAGAAGAAACTCTGGGCAATTTTGTTCATGGTAAAGTGTTTCCAAAGTTGCATTAAAATCCATCTTGTCATCCATAAATGTTTGCCTAAAAGACACAAGTGCCTGAAAGCCAGAGAGCAAGAAAGAATATAATTTGCTCAAAGAAGAGGGAAGGACGCTCGCTTCCAGACTCTTCATTACTCCCACTTGTCCTTTTAGGTAACAAATCAGACACTCAGCTTTTCCTTCACGGTTCTGCAGGATATCCCAGTAAGGGAACTCAAGCCAGCGATTGTCAAAGTCTATGATTACTATGAGACAGGTAAGTGAGAAGAAACTGAAACAACTAGATAATCTCAACCCAGCACCAAGAAATAGAATCCATTGTTACAACAGATCCTACTTTTGAGTCCATTCAGTCAGTACTACATCTATTTGTCTCTTTGCTCTAAGATACATATTGTAACAACTATTAATGGAACAAATTTATCACTATCTACTGAGTCAGAAACTTAGAAATCTAAAAAGAAAGATAATATCTGGACACTGCTCTCAAATATTTTAGAGACATAGAGAACATAATCCACATAAAAAGATAATGTAACAAGGAAAGGCAGTTTATGACAAATGGGTGTTCAAATATAAATATTTTAACTATCCTGTTCAACACCTGTATATTTACATAGAGTTTTGACAATCCTGATATGTGCTTTTCTCCAGAAGTAAAGTGAACAGACTTAATATGGGCTCCCACTTACGGATTTTTTTTTGTCTCTTTTCACCCAACGATTCTTTCAGATGAGTCTGCCATTGCTGAGTACCTAGCCCCCTGCAGCACAGGTAAGAGGTCGCATGCCAAGGCCACCCTTATCCCGCATGAACTAGGCTCCCTAAACGTTCTTCTAAATTTAAAATTCTCTACAAGTCTTTTCCTAGACGCAAAACAGTGCCTGTGGCATTCTCACACAAAGAAAAAACAGTGGGCTCTCCAAGTTCAGATATTCACACCATTATCAGTAAAGTCAAAAAGTTTTGTTTGCTTGTTCGTTTGTAGGATAGCTATCACTGATAGCAACATTTTACATCACAGCTAATTTGTTTCCTTCAGCCCATGGGACAGCTACTTAATTCTCCTGCCAAATCTAGCCCAACATCCATTTTAGTAAATGAAGTTCTTATTGGAACAGAGCCATGCTCATTACATTATTTTCTACAGCTGTTTTCATCTGTTGAATAGTTAGGACATAAGCACAAGGCCTGCAACACCCAAAATATTTACCATGTGGCCTTTCACAGCAAAAGTGTGCCAACCCCTGGTCTAGCCCAGGCTTGACTGAAGGAGTGTTCCTGAGGAATCTCCCCGCCCCCACCTTCCTATGTTTCTCTTTTCTCCATAGATGCAGAACATGGCAATGTTTGAGGACCCATATTTATTCTACATATTTTGCTGGATTCCTGGTCCCATACTGTTTAGAAGAAATGGAGTCATTTGTCTCTATCAAACAGACATCAAGGAAACAGACATCAAAGAGGCTTGTTAAATAAATATATGTTTCTGGCCAACCAATCATTTGTTCAATCATTCATTCATTCAGATATCAATTACATGTTTACATGAAGAGTTATATTATTTTAAATAATGTGAAGAATGTGTAACATTTGCCGATAGTTCAGCTACAGATATTACATATAAAGTCAAACAGAATAATTGAAAATAGTTTATGTTCTGAGGGATCTTAGGAAAAAAAACTCATTCATGGGTCTCGGAAGCCTTCACTTAGAGAGAGATAAGTAAGTAGTACTGATTAGTAAGGCATAAATATTTTTTTGAGAGGAAGCAAGAAGTGTTTGTCCTTAAGCTAAGACATCAGAAATGGGCTTCACAAGAGACAAAACTGATTGGAGTGAAAGAATGTGCTGGAGACAGGCAGTCTTGTGCAGTGGTTGAAATCTAGACACTGAGGCCAGACTACCTACAGTCAAATGCTGACTCCATCTCTGCAACACCAGCTGAGTGTTATTTAACTCTCTGCTTCAGATTCCTCACAAAGGAATAAAGGAATGGGAGTAACAGACCCTCCCTCAAAGTATTGTTATGAGGATAAACTATTCCTGTGGAAGAGGGGAAGGAGAAATAGCTGAATCAAGCAATGGCTCTTAAAGCTTGGCTCAGGGGCACCTGGGTGGCTCAGTTGGTTGGGCGTCGGATACTTTAACTTGGCCTCAGGTCACGATCTCATGGTTCACAGGTTCGTCCGGAGTCGGCTCTGTGCTGACAGCTCAGAGCCTGGAGCCTGCTTTGGATTCTGTGTCTCCCTCTCTCTCTGTGCCTCCCCTGCTCATACTCTGTCTCTCTCTGTCTCAAAAGTAAATAAAACATTTAAAAAAAGTTTTGCCTCAAATGTGGTGTATATAACTTTCATTTGCATTCTATTGGCTAAAGTAAGTCATATGACCAAGCCTAACTTTAATGGAGCACTCACTCAGTATGTTCTCACTTTCCCCCATGGGAAAATTACAGGCCATGGGCATCTCTTCTGCCACCAAACTGTGCCACTTTAGGGGATGGTGATGAAGCCAAAGTAAAAATATTCCTCTTACCTTCTTCAGTGCGTCTATTCTCAGATTTTTTTCCCAGCGGTGTGCTAGAACTTCCCCCAATGGACTACCCAACTCCCACAGGGTTATCTCATCCATAACCGCTAAAATCAACATTCTGTGGAGGGTAATGGTGGAGAACTCTTACCTGATGATATCCCCTTTCATTTTCAGCCCTACTGTGGGTTTCTTCTTGTCTTCAACTTCTTTAAATGGGATTGAGAAAAGAAAAAGATGGAAATGGATGTACATTTGATTCAGAAGCCCAACTGTCTTTCATTTGCTGTCCTCTTGATCAAAGAATTCTCAACGCATAGGAGTTGGAGGAATTTTGTCTATTTACTGTTTATTTTTATTTTATGTGGGTCTTCTCCCCCTTCCTTCTCCTCCTCCCTTTCTTCTCCTCTTCTCTTTCTTTTCCTTTTTCATAGGAAAATTAAATATTGATATAATTTTATATTGGCATAATATTTTAAACATCTCAGAGACTTTTCTATATTTTCTCATTTTATCTAAACCATTTTGCAACTCATAATGAAATAATGTATCAAAGTCTTAAACACCAACAATTGCTAACATCACAAAGAGAGAAATAATTAGATATTCCGTGCATCCTGATTGATGAATATAACATTTCCTATGAAGTAACACTGCCAAAAAGTTAAATCTAATTCTCTGTTTCTGAGAAAAAGCTAGAAGCAGTGTGAAAAACCATTCTCCTTGGCCTTCTTCAGAATCAAGGCACAGTGTTTCAAAATGGAAAACTTAGGAGAAACCTTTAAAGATGATCCAAAAGATTCAAATGTGAGAATTTTGTAAGAAACAGAGGTTTCTCAATCACAGGGATTAGATGGGAAAACAAGAGCAAGGACAGGAGGGCTGGTCAGCCAGGAGGCTAAGAAACCCTCTCCCTAATCCAGAACACCTTTTGATTTCATCCTAGGTTTCCCAAAGAGAGAAGAATAAACTGCATACTAGTCCCTTCCTTCAAATGATGCAGGTAGTGAATTCTGATCCCTTTCTTCTGAGGTCAAGTATTGCTGATCCATTTTTACATAAGGAAAGGGAGAAGTAAAAAACAGAGATTAACATATTTTTCCAACATTTCACTGTTCCCAGAAAAAGAGTTAAGTCTCTTAGTGCTAGGGCTCTTTATTGAATCCTAGGATTAAAATTCCATATTTCTAGGACCGTATTTTATGCTTGCACAAGCAGGGAGAATATACATGTGGGGCAGTAATGGCATTATCAAATAGGGACCAAAGAAGAAATTGGGAAGATAGTAATTTTATCCATGCAAATCATGACATGGGAGCAAAGCGCCAGAACTCTCTGCATGTTTTTATCCAATAATGTGAGGTTATGGAGATGTATATGTAAAATGGAAATTACCAAAATAAAAACTAACCTGTTCTCCCCCTCCTTTATCTTTTCCTTTCTTTTCCCCAAATATATGTGTGTATATATGTATATGTGATATATGATATGTATGATATATTTCCCCCTAAAATATATATATATATATATATATATATATATACACATACACACACACATACCTGAACTGAAACTATGCATGCTCATTTTTCTTTTCCCAAAGTAAGTGAAATCTTTTGTTTCCCAGCTTCCTTCCCTGAATAACATGGAAGGACAACATTGAAATATGAACTGGTGTTTTGTTTTCACTCCTAAAAAGGATTTGGAAAGAATGTGATCTGTGCTGATTGTGATCCCTTGTTTTCCCCTTCCCTAGTTCAAAAGTGTAGCCAGGCCCTTGTGTTCTTTTGCCTTAAAAGAATTTTCAAGGTCCAAGTAGAGGTTACTTAAAGATAACTTTGTGAAAGCCCTGCCTATCTGAGCAAACTACTTATTCTAGGTGCTCATGAAGAGGAGAAGAAAGAAGTATTTTAGAGGCAGGGAAGAGTAGGATCCCAGCTGGCAGGGAGAATCCCAAATCAGGAGGTGGGTGGAAGTTTGTATGACCAGAGAGTGGACATTTGGGGTCCCCTCCCTCATTGCATGCAGGGGAAGACAAGACCTATGAATTAAAGGACTATGTGATGCCGCTCTGAGCCACAGAGCCCTAGTCTCAGCAAATATTATTGGGCCCCAAAACAGCATAGAAACAACCAATAGCAGCCAGACTTCAAAGGGGCTGGAGGGTTGGACAATGACATGGTCGTGTCCGGAGTAATCATTTCAAGCAAACACTAAAGCAATCTTCCCAAACCTTTTCCTTTACAAATCCCAGTGTGAGAAAAGCGTTAATAAGAACTGAGATTAATTCTCACCCAGATATTTGGGAGAATGGAAACAGAATTAGATTTCATTTAAAAAAATGTTATATGTTTTGAATGTCACAGTTTGTGGTTCCTAATTCATGTCTGCTACAGCGATAAGTGTTCTTAAAAATTGTCAAAACCTCTATTTCCTTACCCCTGAAAGTTGAAATTTCTTATTCTTATTTGTCATGATTGTGAAACCACTGTGACTAATTCAAGGCCTAGCAGAGTCAATTTCCTTCTTCCTTCCTTCCTTCCTTCCTTCCTTCCTTCCTTCCTTCCTTCCTTCCTTCCTTCCCTCCTCTATTTCCAAGTAGTTAATTTTCTGGAGTTATGATTGACATACAGAAAAGCCATATATTTTTAATGTATACACCATCACCATATACAATGCTATAAATCTGTTACCAGTTTCTTCCCCCCTTCTTTTTTGATAAGAACATTTAATATAAGATCTTCTCTTTTAAGACATTTTTAAGCATACAATATTGTTAACTATATGCACTATGCTATACAGATTTCTAAACTTATTCATCTTTCATAAGTGAAACTGACTGTCTACCCTTTAACTAACATGTCCCTGATCTTCTTTACCCTCAGCTCTTGGTAACCACCATTCTACCCTCTGCCTCTTGAGTTTCACTGTTTTTGATTTCTGATATAAGTAAGACCATAGAGTTTGTTCTTCTGTGTCTGGTTTATTTCCTTTAGCATGATGTCTTCCAAGCTCATCCACATAGTAGCAAATGGCAGAATTTCTTTCTTTTTAAAAACCTGATATATCCCACTACATGTGTATACCACATTTTCTTTATTCTGTTATCCATAGACAATCAGGTTGTTTCCATGTCTTTGTTATTGTAAATGATGCTGCAATAAACATGGAAATGCAGATAACTCTTTGAGATCCCGATTCCACTTATTTTGGGTATATACCCAGAAGTGGGATTGCTGGATCATGTGGTATTTCTATAAATACCTGTTTTCCATAATGGCTTTACGAATTTACATTTCCACTGACGGTACTCTTCTCCACATCCTTCTAAACACTTATCTTTTGACTTTCTGATAACTGCTATCCTGACAGTTGTGAGGAATTATCTCATTGTGGATTTGACTTGCATTTCCCTGATGATTACTGATGTTGAACATCTTTTCATGTACCTGTAGGCCATTTGTATATCTTCTTTGCAGAAATGGTCTTTTTGCCCATTTTTAATCTTTTTTTTTTTTTTTTTTGGTGATGTTTTCAGGATTTGGGTGGGGGAGGGGTTGGTTTTGGGGGATGTTGCTCTTGAGTCATGTGAGTTCCTTATATATTTTGGATATTAACCCTTTATCAGATACACGATTTGTGAACTATTTGCTCCCATTCCATAGGCTGCCTTTTCACTTTGCTCATGATCTCCTTTGCTGTGCAGAAGCACTTTTGTTTGATGTAGTCCCATTTGTCTAGTTTTGCTTTTGTCTGTACTTTTAGTGTCATATCCAAGAAGTCATTGCCAAGACACTTGTTCTCTACGTTTTCTTCCAGGAGTTTGTCAGTAGTATGCTTAAGTCTTAATCTATTTTGAATTGATTTTTGTGAATGTGTAAGGTAAGGGCACAATTTCTTTTGTATGTAGATATCCAGTTTTCCCCACAACATTTACTGAAGAGACTTTCCTTGTCCCCA